GGCCATTCGTGAAGTGAAGTTACGCCCTCGGGAATGTGAATGTAATTTGCTGTAATTGACTACAGTCCTAACTCCTCCTATCGTCATACCGAAGAATGTTCCAGTTGTTAACCTCGCTGGAACACAAATCTGGGCTCTGGAAAATACACGTCCCTCGCGCGATAAATAACGATTGTACTGGAGGTCGTTACTAACCTCAATGCCAGTTATTACCTGTAGTTAATCCAGTGGGTGTCGCGAATTATGGTGATTCCCTTCCTGGGCTTAATTAAGGCTTCAGAACACACCACTAATTTTTTTTAATTATATTATATATATATATATATATATATATATATATATATATATATATATATATATATATATATATATATATTTATATATGTCGTACCTAGTAGCCAGAACGCACTTCTCAGCCTACTATGCAAGGCCCGATTTGCCTAATAAGCCAAGTTTTCCTGAATTAATATATTTTCTCTTATGTTTTTCTTATGAAATGTTAAAGTTACCCATTTCATTACCTGTGAGGTCAATTTTTTTTTATTGGAGTTAAAATTAACGTAGATATATGACCGAACCTAACCAACCCTACCTAACCTAACCTAACCTATCTTTATAGGTTAGGTTAGGTTAGGTAACAGAAAAAGTTAGGTTAGGTTAGGTTAGGTAGGTTAGGTAGTCGAAAAACAATTAATTCATGAAAACTTGGCTTATTAGGCAAATCGGGCCTTGCATAGTAGGCTGAGAAGTGCGTTCTGGCTACTAGGTACGACATATATATATATATATATATATATATATATATATATATATATATATATATATATATATATATATATATATAGTTTTCGTTTTTTTCTTTCCCGCTGTTGCTTTCCACCACCATTGTCTGTTGTTATAAATCTTTGTTTTTCTATTGATTTATGTTCTCCAGAACTTGCTGGCTCTTATATATTTCTCAACATTATTTGTTTTCTATTTTTTCCTTCTGCTTTCTTTGTCTCATTTTCTCCCTATTCCTTATTTCTTCCACTCTTCATGCTCTCTCTTCTACTTTCTCCTCTTTTCCTCCCATCCTCCTACTCCTTCTCTCCCCCCATTCAATCCCACCACATTCTACCTCCTCTGGACCGGCATCAACCGTCCAAATTGAGTGCACCCCAACAGAGAGGTCGCAAGCCGTGGTCTCCTTATAATGAACCACGTAAAGAGCCTTTGCGACCTCCCTGCTCCCTAAGATCGTAATTGGTTTTTGTGTGCAATGAAGCATCCATGGATCCATACGAGTCGAACTCCAGCTTAATTAAATAGCTTATTGTAAGGGGAGGGGCTGGTGGTCTTGGGTCAGGGAGAGACTGAATCTAATTGGGAAAAAAAGAACTTGCAGAATAGAGATGCACTGATAGAGAGAGAAGGGGGAAGAGAGAGAGAGAAGGCGAGAGAGAAGGAGAGAGGGGAAGGGGAAGGATGGGGGCTCCTCCTGGTCCCTCCTCCGGATTGAAATCGTAACTCAAGTCTCTTTCATAGACACGCATTGAGACGATATTGTGAGTTCGTATAATAAATTTACGCTTAGAGGTAGAGAGGCATTTCTCACAGCTCGACAAATGTGCGCATGGGGGGAGGAAGCTATCGATTATAATTACTTAGTGCGGGGAATTATTTGGGGTTGGTAGACTGGAGCTCGTTAATGCTGTTCCTCACACAAATGATGTTCAATTGTGGTGATCTGGATATACTCACTTAGTGCCTCTTCTCTTAAACCGCTTCTTTCGACCATCAACAGTTCGATGCAATGACTCTTTTCACTCGTTTTTATCTTATGTTTACATTTAAAGCTATGTATTGGTCTCGACAACTTTCGCATCTAATCTGATCCCTTTATTTGCTACATTTTTGCTAAAGAACTACTCTCTGGCGTCTCCGTGACTCATTCGTGACTCGTTTATATATATATATCCCATTCTGCTGTTCCTCACTTTGAAATTGTTTTCTACATACTTGTTCTGTTCCTTTTAGTATCTTGAATGTCGTTATCATGGCTAACATATTCATTCTTTCTTCCAGTGTAATGAGGTTCAATTCCCTTAGTCTTTCTCATAGTTGTGTGTGTGTGTGTGTGTGTGTATTCACCTAGTTGTATTCACCTAATTGTGCTTGCATGGGTTGAGCTCTGCTCTTTCGTCCCGCCTATCAACTGTCAATCAACTGGTGTACAAATTGCTGGGCATTTTCATATCTACATTTGAAACTGTGTATGGAGTCTGTCTCCACCACATCACTGTCTATAATGCATTCCATCTGTTAACTACTCTGACACTGAAAAAGTTCTTTGTAACGTCCCTGTGCCTCATTTGGGTACTAATTTTCCACCTGTGTCTCATTGTTTGCGTCCCACCCGTGCTAAACAATTCATCTTTTTCTACCCTGTCAACTCCACTGAGACGTTTATAGACAGTGATCATTTCTACCTGAACTCTTCTGTCTTCCAGTGTCGTGAGGTTCCGTCCAAGCAATATTTCCTTGTAGCTCATACCTCTCAGCACGAGGACTAGCCTTAGTTTTGTGTTTTACTAGATGTGGACTCCAAGCTGGAGCCGCATATTCCAGTATTAGTCTGAGATATGAGGTATACAAGGTTCTGAATGATTCCTTACACAAGTTTCTGAAGGTAGTTCTTATGTTTGCCAGTCATGCATACGCCACTGATGGTATGTGTACTCACCTAGTTGTACTCACCTAGTTGTGCTTGCGGGTATTGAGCTCTGGCTCTTTGACCCCGCCTCTCAACCGTCAATCAACTGATGTACAGATTCCTGAACCTACTGGACTCTATCATATCTACATTTGAAACTGTGTATGGAGTAAGCTGTGTGTGTGTGTGTGTGTACTTACCTAGTTGTGCTTTGGGGGGGTTGAGCTCTGGCTCTTTGGTCCCGCCTCTCAACTGTCAAACTACTGGTGTACAGGTTCCTGAGCCTACTGGGTCTATCATATCTACAAGGCAAATGACGAAATGGCAAAGTCAATTACTCGTCCTCAAAAGTTATGATTCACAATGTCTCAGAAATCTGGCAGAATTAGGAATCTCCTCTCATAAGTTAAATCCACACAGGCACCAGAAAATGCCAATGTCCCCAAACGGCTCAAATAATACTATACGTCACCTAACCAAAACGTTACCCATACGAATCTAGTGACAACACTATAGGAACTCTGATCCACACTAATAATTCTCCTTTTTATATATACTGAAAATAAGTCAATTGATTTATATATACAACAAAAATCCAGAGAGCACACACAATACGTGTGACTCTATACAACCCAGACAATGGCTGACACCACTGGTTAACTCACTGTACCTTCACTGCGCATAATATATCAATCAACACAGAGTACAGAAAACAAAAAGAAAAATACTCTAACGTATATATACACCTTGGAAACATACGCAGATGTACAACTGCACAAAATTAGCATATGTGTATATTCAACAAACAAGGAGCATTCCAAGTGCACCGGGTTGTACTGACAGACATACACACACACACACACACACACACACACACACACACACACACACACACACACACACACACACACACACACACACATTTCAAGATTCTGAAGGGAATTGATAGGGTAGATAAAGACAGTCTATTTAACACAAGGGGAACACGTACAAGGGGACACAGGTGGAAACTGAGTGCCCAAATGAGCCACAGAGATATTAGAAAGAACTTTTTTAGTGTCAGAGTGGTGGACAAATGGAATACATTAGGAAGAGATGTGGTGGAGGCTGACTCCATACACAGTTTCAAGTGTAGATATGATAGAGCCCGATAGGCTCAGGAACCTGTACACCTGTTGATTGACGGTTGAGAGGCGGGACCAAAGAGCCAGAGCTCAACCCCCGCAAACACAACTAGGTGAGTACACACACACACACAAGCAAGGGAGAGGGGGAGGGGGTGCTAATGATAGAACAAGCGGCCGGCCGACGAAACTAGCAGTTATAAAACTCACACATAACATATAAAGAAATATAATAATAATGCAGCAAAATACCGTACAATAAACTATAAAACGCTATAACTATAAAATGATATATGCTATAAAATGGTATAAAACTATAAATGATATTATAACTACAACAGAATAAATTACATTGTAATAGAGGTACCTTGACACTTAAAGGTATGACCTCAGCGTAGCCAGTCTGAACTGGTTGGGCGGGATTACAACACCACTGTCCTTTATTTCATCGATATCCCTACGTATCTCGCATGTCGTGGTTATGTCCATTCTGTTTCGTATTTCTTCATGTGTTATTAGGTTCGTTCTACCTCCTTTTAATCCCGTACGTCAGTCGTACGGGATGAAACGAAGCCTTTGGGGCTTCATATGGAAGCCTGGTGTTTAGTCCCCCCCCCCCCCCCCCCCATGCTGGCATCAATCGTGTATGGCAGCTTATACAAGATGTATTAGTTAGGAATTCGTCAATTAAGAACAAAAGGCAATTCAACTCTTTCCTTTTCTTATATTTTGGAGTTAATTATTCGGATTTCGTCTTTTTTTTTAATCTTATTTTATTTAGTCCCTCTCAAGGAAAGCGGAAATCTAAGTAAAAGATTTTGCAACACAAACTTGGAAGTTTATATTAATTTTGCAACATTATATCTAGTATTATTTTTTTAACAAATGATATGATTTTTGTTTTCAATATTAATTCTACTTGTTTACGATCAATCTATTATTTTATGAATATACAAATTATATTTGTATTAATAAACAAACTCTTCATATGACACTTTCACATATGCATGACCCCCACCTTACTGTGTCAAATATGTGTCTCGGGCAGTGAGAGTTGACGTGTGTCACGCTATAGGCCCTCAGTGTGTGGACCTTGAGACACACACACACATGACAGACACCTGGCCCCCCACAACAGCCCACTCAACTCTCCTAAAGCCATGTCCTCTTCTGTTTTACAGTGATCTAGTGAAGGAAAGGCGACCGCTACCTCCTCCGCGCCGCCTGGGTCTGGCTACCACCTGTGTGTGTGTGTGGTGTTTCTCTCTCATTTCCTCGCCTGCACGCGTATCTACCTACCTACCTACCTACTCTCCCTCCCTCCTCCTTCCTTCAGTTCATGCTCCTCTCCTGCTGTGGTTCGATACGCAATACTCGCCGACCTCAGCAACTCAAACAAAAAATCAATACAAAAATCAACTTCAAATCTTCGCCACAGCACTAAATCCTCTCCCGGAACAAGTCTCCAGCGGCTGTCCAGATATCAATGAGATAGATTGCCACACGATCACACAAGGTCGATCCTCCTTTATCCTTCTCCAAGACACTACTTAGCTTCCAACACTCCATCTTTCTGCGAGAAAGGCTCCAACACTCCAAGTCTTCACCATGTTCGGAATGCTGAATCCTGTCAGTGCCGTCACCAGTAAGCATTTTTTTGCCTTTGAAGTTTATCATTTCAAATATTTTCGAGTTTTCGGCATGACTTCCCAGTGCAATGACCATTCGAAGCACGTCTCAAAATTACATGTATACACACATATTTTATATAAATATACATACATGCATACATTATTTACATGCATATGCACATAATACATACAAACACTTATACATATATATCATGTATTATTTTCAATAATAACCACAGAGAAACTAGAAAGTAGTCTAAATTAAGTACGTTCGCTCCACTTGGAGACTCGTCAGAAACTGTCTCTGACGAAGCTGTTAGCGGAGTGAAAATGAGTAGACTATTTTCTCATTTTCCCGTGGGTTTTTCTGCCATATTTGAGGTCACTAATTTTGTGACGATTTACATATATATTTATTTATTTATTTCACCGAATACAATCACAGGCATTTACATACATAAGTACCTATTAGTTCTGAAGTTATGTATACATTTCAGCTAATGGCAAGATAATTTTATATATATTACCCTTATATATGACCCTGTACCGCCTGTTGCACTCTCCCTGTTATATAAGAACATTGCATCCGTACTTGTCCTAGTCTCGTAGGATCAACGCCTGTACCCCTGACCTGGCTTGTGTAAGGTCAGTAATTTTTTTTGTATCTAGCTTCCAAAAGTCCAGTATTCTGGGCTGGTGTTTACTCTAGTCCCGCCCGGCCCTGCCCCCAGCACTAAGCAATCAACCAGCAAGCAGCAGTTGTTCGCGGCGGGGCCTTAAAAGCAGCTCTTGTGACAAGGCGGACCGGGTGACAGGTATAGGTTCGTTGAGGGTACCATAAAAGGAGCGTCGGTTTGCAAAATTGCAAGGCTGGTGCCATAAGACAGGGTGACAAGTGGTATGTGTGTGTGTCTGACGAAGACACGTCTCCTGTCAGACCTGCATGGGATACTAAGCCTGTTGAATGCCAGCACTGACCTTGTGTTTATGCGGTCACGCTACGCCTGTCGCACGTTTGCCTGATTTCACTTGCAGCCTTGTTTATTACGGCCCCGCCTAGTATTAGGACCTCATTACAACTCCAATGCTTGCTCCAGTTACTAAATCATTTTTTTTTTACGTATAGTTTAGCAATGTTTCGTTGTAAATAAGTTATTTATTTCTTGAAAGTTTATTGTATCGTAAATGACTAAAATTGCCAATGTTAATTTTAAAGTGAATTCAGTGAATATGCAACATTTGTACAGTATATGCGTGTGTGACTCACCACTAGTTGACGAATTCATTTAAAATGGCCACTGATGGGAATTCTAGCATTTGGCACTAAAATACTGTTTATAGTCAACTATCGCTTGAAACGTCTATGATATTGACCATCAACATGTAGTTTGCTACTAACTTGGTGATTGGAATTACAAAATCTTTTTATCCAATGGAATCGGGCTCCAGAGAGGGCGTTTCCACATGTCTGAGCCACTATTCAGTCTCCCTGAAAACAATTCAAGATCTCTCTCATTGGATGATAACTGTGAGTTTATGTTGCAATTCTGCCACAGACTATCTTGTCACAAACATTTCGCCACCTTCAGTTAGTTTCAGATAGTCTGAAAGTAGGATGCAAGATGCTGAGTTGACAGTTAGATGGTATTTAACCGTTGTTTAACCGAGCAAAACTAAAGGAACTACAGTTTAATACAGAGCGACCACCACCAGGGAAGGTGCAGTGGAAGACAGACCTAGAATTGGCATCGAGAGACAGGATTAGCACTGATGTAGGTCCTGATCAACCAGGCTGTGACTCATACGTCAGGCTGCGAGCAGCCGCGTCCAACAGCCTGGTTGATCAGTCCGGCAACCAGGAGGCCTGGTCGACGATCGGGCCGCGGGGACGTTAAGCCCCGGAAGCACCTCAATGTAGGTACACTGAGAGACAAAACTATCACTAGTTCTGCCCCCCCTCTGGAGAAAATCATCATTACTGCTGAACTCAAACACCAGTGAATGAGTAGCCAAGTTTTACAACAACAAAAACTAAGATGCATGCTGGTTCCCTGCCTGGGGAGCCCCCTTTCAGACTCACCAATTTCCAGATTGTACTCCTCAGTTCGACCTCATTACAGACGTATAGTAAAGCCAGATCACTGCTACACCAGCATCACTGTTACTGCTGCTACTCGAACGATAACAGTTTATCAGCGCTGGATTTCCAGTCTATCTCAGTAGACACAATATCAAAGAGTAGTGATAGTTCGGCGATTAACTAACGTTAATTCAATGTTTAATTAACGGTAATGACGTTGATTCGGTGTTGAATTGACGTTGCTCTTGAATGTTGAACACGGAGGGATGTAGCGTCATTGATGCAACCGTTCCTCCCTCCCCCCCCCCTATGTGATGCGAAGCTTGTTGATGTCACATGACAAGAGGTGAAGCTTTCCTCCTCACCAGTCATGATACACCGCTTGAGGCTTCGGCTGGACCCAAGGGATAAAAAATAATGGAAATCTGGCCAAATTTCATTTATTTTTCCCTGAAGGCCAACATTTTTTTATTAGAAAAAAGTCATTAACTTGGAGAGAGGAAAAGGGTTCTATGCGCCAGTGAGCAGCTCTCAAGCCTGTTTACCACCCACTAGAGCGACCCTTAAAGTCATAGGATAACTAAAATGATCCTTATCGCGATAGAACTACTTAAGTGACCATTAACTTACTGCGAGAGGACTACTGGAGTATCCCATTTCCCATGTTTAAATAGTACGTTTTGTAACTATGGGGACCATTAGGGGGGGTCTCGTAGCCTGGTGGATAGCGCGCAGGACTCGTAATTCTGTGGCGCGGGTTCGATTCCCGCACGAGGCAGAAACAAATGGGCAAGTTTCTTTCACCCTGAATGCCCCTGTTACCTAGCAGTAATTAGGTACCTGGGTGTTAGTCAGATGTCACGGGCTGCTTCCTGGGGGTAGAGGTCTGGTCGAGGACCGGGCCGCGGGGACACTAAAGCCCCGAAATCATCTCAAGATAACCTCAAGAGATAACCATCGTAAATATATAGTCGTAATGGGCAATTAGATAGAAGAATTTGGTATTATTCACTTGATAAGAGTCAGAAAAAAATAATGCTAAAAACCAAACTTAAATATTCCTAAGCCTAGTATAGCACATATATATATAATATATTAATATGTAGTCGACTGCCTCTTCGTTGGAAAACTGCACCTGAACAGGTCTGAGGTTGTTGTTATAAGGCCCAATTCGGTGTGTGAGTTCAATCTCGTTTCCTGCCATTTAAACACCGCAATATCTCTTCTAGTACAAACTTTTCAATCAATATCCTTTGATATTTTGATGTTGCCTTTGCCTGACATGCTCCATGAATGACAAGTGTTCGTCTCTTGTGTGATCCACTCTCATGCTGGTTCTTACCCCCCAGTGTTGCCGCCCTTACTGAGTCCCTATCATTTCCCCGCTTGTTTCTAGTTGTATCTTCTGCATTGTCCTGTGTTAGGCAAATTTTCTGATGTTGCTCCTCCAAATTTCGTAGTCTACCCCTTACTGTCTTGTACCCATTTGTTACCCCGCCCCTTAAATATTTGCTAATAGAAATGCAGGAAGCATTTCTATTAATGCTTTCTGTGCTTGTGTGTACACGCGTAGTTGTACTCACCTAGTTATGTTTGCGGGGGTTGAACTTTGACTCTTTGGTCCCGCCTCTCAACCGTCAATCTACTGGTGTGCAGATTCCTGAGCTTCTCGAGTTCTATCATATCTACATATGAAACTGTGTATGAAGTCTGCCTCTGTGTGTGTGCATTTTGGTAATACACTCACTTTTTTCGTATCTATGTATGTGTTTGTTTAACAGTTTTCCTGAAAGGTGGTTCTGATTTTAAGAAGCAGAAGTGAGGGAAAACTGATGCAGTTTGCAACACTATTGATCCGACGTGGTAATCCACACAGCCTACACTGGAGGAAAGCGTTCTCTATTATCTTTCATGTCGTGGACTTCCAATGTTTGCGTTCGCGAGAAGAATTCGCTGAAATCCGGAAGAATCCATTCACCTCATGTTGTCGTCTTTATAATATTTGTGCTTACTTAATATTTCAGCAAATTATGCAAATAATAAATGACATATCATTATGGGATTAAACAGAGCGATGGGAAATACAGAAATATCAAATTCACAAAGACATTTGTGATATACAAAACTTGACATCTGTTAACAATTCCAGGGTGACGCTCTGTTGGAGGAGCTATGGTCTGTGGGAGGAAGGATTGCAGGATATTGACGGTCTAGAGCTGATCTGGACAGCGATGGTCTTGAGATAGAGAGTGAGGGTCTGAGCAGAGGATAGGGATTGTATAAACGTAAGGGGGTAGCTGGAAAGGCCGTGATTGGTCACCTTGAGACAGTAATCTCCTCACCCCCCCCCCCCCCCCCACTCCCCCCCCACCCCCCCCCCCTCTACCCCTAACCCTTTGACCTGCATTGTGCTGCTGTTGCTTGTGTCTGACTCTTCCCCCCAGCTCTGGGGGGAAGGCTGTGTGTTGATGGTTTAATCCCAGTGGTGCAGGTGAACACGCCCCTCATCCACACAAGCTGCTCTCCTTCAGTCCCGCTGGTCTCACACCCTTCCTATTAGTTCCCCCTTCTACAATTCCCTCATCCATCTTATACCTATCCCCAACGCCCTTTAACCATTCCCTATATATGTATATTTTCCTCCTCAATCCTTTCCCATCAACTCCTTTGCTCTTCGACACACCTAGGGCCCCGAGACTCACCCTCTCTCCCCACCACACCCCACTCAGCTCTATCAACCCTAGATATCAAGCCCCACCATTCACTCCACCCTCTACACTCTCCTTCCCTTCCTTCTCCATCCCTACCCTCTACACCCAAACCCACAACACCTTACTCCTCCCCCAGCCCTTCCCTCTCCACCCCCATCCCTCTATACGTTACTCCACCCTTCTTCACCTTCACCTCTTTCCTCTCCACTCCTATCCTCCACCC